TAAAAAAAAAAGTCTGGTATATCTACTATTTTCAGTGAAAATTTACATTTTCAACTATATCTTTGTTAGTTTTGAACCAATTAATATGTGTTTGAGTGTGTTTTGAAGGGTATTTAATGGGCTATAAAAAACCAGTTTGTTTAGACTGGTCTTTTTGCAGTCACAAGACTGGACTTCCAACCATTAATTGTTTATGTTAAACCTAGGGCTTCACACTGTATGTTGTCCTCTCCGTGCAGTTTCATTTAAGGAGTTCCTGCTCAACTTGTTGCAGGTGACTCAATGGGAAGTCCCACCAGGTGCAAAATCTCTAGGACCCAGATCAATTGAAGCTTCAATTAGAGTCAACCCTTGGCTTTTTCAAATTGAGATTGCCCAGGCCAGCCACCAAAGGCCCAAAGCCAATGTAAGCTGGGTTTATGAAAGGGTTTTTTCTTTCTTGTCTTCCTAATGTGCTGTTGGGACTCCAGCCTGAGCCTTGAGGGTTGACACAAGTAACTGAGGGAGCAAGAATCTGAGTCAAACTTTGAAGCTGAGTAGGATCAGGTAAAATAATCTGAGAAGGCCCAGCTCCAGCAATCTGCATGGGCAAATTAGGAATAATAAAAAATATTGGACAATCTATGTTTTTGTGTTTTATAGAAAAAAAACCACACACACTGGTGTGTTGTATCACCCTTGAAGGCCCTGCCCCATCAGATTGAAAATAGAAGTCAGAAGCTAACACTCATCTGTCAAGAAAGATTTATAGAACTTACCAGAATTTTGTGATTGTATTCCTGAATGCAAATATTGTCAGCAAGGTTTGTTCCAGCATTTTTTTGCAGCCAGAAGATCAGGGTCAGAAGGCATAGCTAAAGAAAAATTCAAATTTATTTAATCTGTAAATTAGAAGCCAAGGAAGGAGAAAGAGGGCAATTCATACATCAGAAAATTTGAATTGGACTATAGTAACCAGATGAAATTGGATAAGCTAAGTAACTTGAGATCAGGCTTGGAAGAGAAGAATCAGATTCAGAAATGACCAGACACAGAGTTCATGGTTGCCAGATGGTCATTTTTGTCATGCGAGTCATGCATGAGCAAGTTCGCACAGGTTGTCCATGTTGTGCAATGTGTAAACATGGCCAACTACTTGTGGATTAGGTCATCATCTACATTTTGGAGTTGGTTAGCAGTACAAAGGGGAGCTTGTGGTCATTTTTGTCATGCGAGTCATGCATGAGCAAGTTCGCACAGGTTGTCCATGTTGTGCAATGTGTAAACATGGCCAACTACTTGTGGATTAGGTCATCATCTACATTTTGGAGTTGGTTAGCAGTACAAAGGGGAGCAAGCTCCCCAACGAATTGATCATGAATTCATGTGAATTGACATTGAATAGTTGATAGAAACATTGGAATAGACTACAAACCCAATAGATAGACTATAAACACTCCAAAAGACTACAAAAGTAACTACAAAACATCAGAATAGACTTCAAGTTCAATAGATAGACTACAAACACTATTAAAGACTACTTGAATTCATATGAATTGATCATGAATTCATTTGAATTCATGTGAATTGACATTCAATTTATGTGAATTGACATTGAATAGTTAATAGAAACATCGGAATAGACTACAAACCCAATAGATAGACTATAAACACACCAAAAGACTACAAAACATCGGAATAGACTTCAAGTTCAATAGATAGACTACTTGAATTCATATGAATTGATCGTGAATTCATTTTAATTCATGTGAATTGACATTCAAGTTATGTCAATTGACATTGAATAGTTAATAGAAACATCGGAATAGACTTCAAGTTCAATAGATAGACTACAAACACTATAGAAGACTACTTGAATTCATTTGAATTCATGTGAATTGACATTGATTTCAGGTGAATTGACATTGAATAGTTAATAGAAACATTGGAATAGACTACAAACCCAATAGATAGACTATAAACACACCAAAAGACTACAAAAGTAACTACAAAACATCAGAATAGACATCAAGTTCAATAGATAAACTACAAACACTATAAAAGACTACATGAATTCTGTGAAACCAAAGGGCTGATCAGGACTTCTTGATGAAGGCATGAGTGCAAGATGGCGGCGGAGAATATTGGGGGTACATGGGAGAGTGTTTGTAATGTGGTGCCATGAGACAATACCATGTTGAGAATATCCTGTGACCCAGGAACTGGGGTGCAGTCACCCAGTGCAGGACTCTTGTATCCCGGAGGGGAGGCATAAGGCTGCCTAGCCATATAGAAATGGGGTGACTCCATCCACATGTAATGTATATTGTGGTTGCAAAGTGAGTTTATTGTTGTAAACACGATGCTATACAACATGGGAATAAATACATGTAAATATGATGATGCTAGATCACACAAAGTGTATATACCACTATGCCATTACAAAGCCCCTCTGTGAGTTAGGAGCATCATTGAGTAATTAATTTCCATCCAGTCTTCATAATCTTGTAGAGTCCTTGTCTCTTCACTGGAGGCTTAGGCTGTGAATCGGGTTGGACAGTTCAATCTATTTATGACAGAATACACGAGTCTCCAGTCTCTGAATTGCTTCATGGCATGTCTCAAACCGTTTGATTCAGCAACTATCGCAATTCAGGTAAGCTTGGATTCCCTTGGAACTCAGCACTTTACCATCCCCCACATAATCCACATGGACTCCACTTGGATTCCACTGGATTCCACTGGACTTCACTGGACTTCACTACATATTAGCAATATCCACAAAACTGGACTCCACTGGACTGGACTGGACTGGACTAAGTTAATTCAGAATTCCTGAACTTAGATTTCAAATCAAAAAATCAAATTGAAGTATATTAATTAATTAATTAAATTACTTTTACAACATTCTATGTTACAGGGAGGGATTAAACTATTTGGCAACCCCCCCTCCTTGTAGCAACCCTGGGGTTGCCAAATAGATGTGAAAAAGTGATAATAGGGCAAATGAAATATGTGAGGTCATGTCAATCCTTCAGCCATATCCCCATGAGCTTATAATTATGTTTTGAAATAGGACAGTAGGTATCAATATGAAGGTCTAGGCTAGCCTTTCCTAATGTAAAGACTGCTTGTGCATAATGTCAAAAACTAATGCAGCAGAACTGGAAATATGTAAGTAAGATCATGTTAATCCTTCAACCTCATCCCCATAACCTAGACAGAGCCAAGGACACCATAAACTACATGTCAACTACAAACTCTTGTAGTCTCAAAAAGCAGACACTACAAACTTTACTAATGAAAGAGTGCACACTACAAACTTTTGTAGTGTCAAAAAGCGGACACTACTAACTTTTCTGATGAAAAAGCACACACTTTGTAGTCAAAACAAGTGGGAACTACAAACTTTCCAAATGGAAAAGTGCACACCAAACTTTTGTAGTCCCAAAAGGCAGACACTACAAACCCTTCTAAGGAAAAAGTGAACACTACAAAATTTTGTAATGATGAAAAGTGGACACTACAAACTTTGTAGCACTTTTAACCCTAACCCTAACCCTAACTTTGTAGTCTAAGTCCAAGCTTTTGTAGTCTAAGTCCGACTTTTGTAGTCTATCAGTAAACTTTGTAGTCTATGTCCAACTTGTTGGTAGTCTATGGTAGACTCTTATAGTCTGTCAGTGTCAATTTCTTTTCTAGGGTATGCACCTTCCTTTTTTGGCCATTTTTCCCACAATACAATAATTGTAGCCCTTTCTTTTAGCTTTCTAAATATACTGATATCATGTTGTTTGGTTTTGTTTTCATGGAGAAAAACACAAAAAACAAAAAAAACGCAACGCTTTTGAAATTCCTGTACCTCATATCTCCATAACAGGAGCAAAACAGATTCGGGAAGCTACAATGTAGGGCTACAACTTTTGTTTTCACCATTTTTGGTAATTGGTCATGTGACCATCATCCCAACATCCCATTACATGGACCCTGATAGATAAAAACATTCTCCTGTTGGTTTTCTTCACTTTTGGTCAAACCAGGTGATGTTTCCTCTTTGGGATGGACCCTGAAGTGTACCCTGAAGGCAGTGCCTGATGTTCTGTGCACCATTCATATCTTTTTCCATTTTCTTTCCTATTTTCTAGCTATTTTTGAATATATTACCCTATTTGGACATATGGCCTGGACCCTGAAAACAACCCCAGATGACATCACCAACAGAAAGCACCACCCCCATTTTTTTTCTGATTTTTTGGTTATTTTGTGGCTATTTTTAGCTATATTACCATATTTGGAAATGCACCCTGGACCCTGAAAACAACCTCCAACATTGTCCCCAACAGTGAGCACCACCCCTAATTTTTCCTGATTTTATTGCTATTTTACATGTGAAAAAGCGCATGTTTCCTTATTTGGAAATGTGCCCTGGACCCTGAAAACCACCCCCAACATCATCACCAACAGTGAGCAACACCCTAAACTCATCATTGTTCCCTGTATTTTATTGCTATTTTTCATTTAACATAGCCACACCTTCCATATTTGGCAATGGGCAGTGGATCCTGAAAACAGTAGGACCCTACAGCCCCAGGAAAGCATTTACAAACAAAAAGAAATTTATCAATAATACCTCTACTAGTGAAAAATCATAACACACTCTTCTTTGGAACTAGGACCGCAGACACCTCTAGTAGTCTATCCAGAGCCAAAATGTATTCAGTGGTGTGACAGGCAAGTTTGTGACATGTTAACCAAAAAGATTTATTCAGTAGTAAAACCATGAAATATATTTGTTTCAGAGTCTTGGCATCAAAAAAGATTTATTTAGTGCAAAAAAATAGATTCAGTAGTGAAACCATGAAATATATTTAATTCAGAGTCTTGGCACCAAAAAGATTTATTTAGTGCAAAAAAATAGATTCAATAGTGTGACAGCTGATTTTGTGACATTTTAAGGAAATAGATACAGTAAAGATTCTGGATATATTCAGTACAATAAATAAATACAGTACTACTATTAGTCATGTAATATATACTGAAATTACATGGTGACTGAAGTGAACAACCTCGCGTGTCCTAGCGCGCTTGATCTTCTCTGTTGCATGAGCCATAGCCTGGACATGATCCTCTGCATTGGCAAGCCAGTTTGGTGGGTCAGAAATGCGATCTCCCGAGAACTTGTAACCCAAAACTGCGTTGGCCGGGATGAGGTCCATATTAGCACATATCCTGTCGAAAAAATCATTCCAAGGAAGGTCGGTTGGTAAGCGGACGATCAAGCGAGTGACAACCCCATTTTCAACTTCTGTTATGGTCCAAGATAACAGGACCTACGACGGGCCGTGGCAGGACGTGGAGTAGCAGGGGCCGGCAAATTCTCAGGCCTATCATGGTAGTATGACGGGTGGGCGCGTGGTTGAAACTGAGCAGGTGGGTAGTAGCCATGGTTAGGATAGAGGCCGGGAAACACAGGGAAACCAGGGGGATACATGGCCTGCGGAGCAAACCCAGGAACAGCAGGGGGGGCGGCAGGTAGACCAGGTGGAGCAGCAGGTTGGACGGGGGCAGCAAGAAGGCCAGTGTACGGGTTACCGTTGAGGTTTCTGTTGTGCTGTGCCATTTGTTCTAGAACTGGATGGATGTCAGGGTGATGGTCGTGCATGCGAAGCCAGAATGAAGCACAGGGAAATCGACGCAGCATTTCTTGCCACTCCGCCGCATTCAGCTGGAGTTCGTTGTTAGCCATGAGTATATAGTTGGGGAAAATAAGCACGCACATCAAAGCTTTTATAGACGAAAAAAAAACCCTTCTCCGAGCTCCCCTGCCGCTATCATCGAGGAGCTCCATATCATCAGTCCGTGGATGCTAGCCATGGTTCTAAAATACCCAAGAAAACCTAGAAATATTAGAATTTTGGAGTTAGTGCCATCAGTAGGTGCAGTGGGTGACCATCGGTGCGAGGGTGACAATTCATAAGCAAGAATGGAAGGATTTTCACATTGCTGTAGAGTATATACATGCCATCGAGGAATTTAATTGAAGAGGAGAGATGGTGGAGTGTTCAACGAAGGAGAGTGGGGGGGATATGAAGGAGGACGATGGAGAAGTGTTATCGATCTGGTCTATTTGGCTTTGGTGTGCGCCACATACAAACAAATGGCTAGGATGGAACGGGAGCCGAGCTGCTCTATCGTTTCGCAATCAGCTGTAAGACCTCTTTGTTTTTGCCAGCACCCACCTCAATTTCATTCACCCCCACCTCAACTGCCTCAATTTCAGCCATGCCCACCTCAATCTCATCCACATTGATTTCACAAGTGTTGTCTCACATCCCTCACTTGAGAGTTCACAGGGTCCAGTTTGGGTGGTGGAAAGAAGAGTGGTGTGATTTCGATTCAAACTGACTTGGGGTTTGGAAACATTTCCATAGACAAGTGATTCTTTCCACACTAATTAAATACATTCGATATACATTTTATATATTCAAGTATAGTGTGATGAGGAAAATTGAAGGCCAAAATTAGCATAAGGTCGGCATCAGGGATCCCCAAGGACAGCCCAGGCCACCCCAGGCCAACCTCAGCACACCTCAGGGCAACCCCAGGTTGCTATTGGGAAATCAAAAAAAGGAACCTGTATCTGAGGGTGCTCCAGGGCACCCTGATGCCCTGAGTTCCATGACAGCCTCTGGGTATCCAGGGTCTACCCTGGATACCCTCAGGGAAGAAGTGATTTTCCTGATGTGTTTATTGCCCAAGACATTATGATATGAGATATTTCATTTTGCGCTTTTTTCAGGTACTATATTTCATTCCTGTTTCATTGCATATTTCATTCCCATTTCATTTCTAGAACTTCTACTTTAAGTTCTAACAGAACAAGTATGGTAGTAATTCCATTTGCTGTGTGAACCTGAACTCGAAGCACCATGCACATACCTGTGGTGATGAGTGTTGAAGGTGTGAGTATGTGTGTGTGTGTGTGTTGTTTAGGTGTTCACACATCCTGTCAGCATGTCTGATTGCACTTTCCTCACTCCCACATGCCACAGTCTTCTCAAAGTTGGATAGTTCAGTGGATAGACTATGAAAGTCTGTGGAAGGTTCTAGTCTGAAGCTTGAAGTTGGGAGAAACATTGGAATAGACTACAACAGTGATTGAAGGGAAGTAATATTTACAACAAAATTATGGGAAACTATCAATTCACTTTGGTTCACTTGAATTGCCCATGAATTCAGCAGACATTTACTTGAATTGACCACAAATTCATAGGAAACATTGGACAGGAATCCATGGGGGAGGGTAAAGTACACTTGGTTCACTTGTATTGAGCATGAATTCAGTAGACAGTTGCTTGAATTGACTACAAATCCATAGGAAACATCAGACAAACTTACAGTCTAAAGCTTGAAGTTATAAGAAACATCAGAATAGACTACAAGTTCAGCACATAAACTATGGAAAGGTTCATGTACTTGACTTTCACTTCAATTGGAATCCTTGAATTACTATCAATTCACTGATAAATCCAGCATAAATCCAGCCACAAACCGGTGGCAGAAGCAAAGAAAGAAGAGGTAGGACAGCCTCCCATCTGAATTCATGGGCAATTCAAGTGAACCAAGTGTACTTCACCCTCCCCCATGGATTCCTGTCTGATGTTTCCTATGAATTTGTGGTCAATTCAAGCAAATGTCTGCTGAATTCATGGGCAATTCAAGTGAACCAAAGTGAATTGATAGTCAATTCATATGAATTCACAGTTTCTCATAATTTATAGTCTTTTACAGCTTTATAGTCTATCCACTGAACTTGTAGTCAATATGTACATACTAGAACTGGGATCAAAAATGCATACCAGGGGTCCAGGGGGAAGGAACAGCTGAGCACCAGTGTTGTGGGTTCCTGTGGATTCCAGTCCAGTTCCTGTGGATTCCTGCAGGAATGGGTGAGGCTCTGTAAAGTACGAGGTATACTACCATTTTCATGATATATGTAGTCAACCCTAACCCTAACTTTTTGTGCTCTTCAAATCCAGTTGCAGTCTTTTTTTGGGACTGGACTTCCAAGCAGTAATGACTGACCACAATAACCAACACCTTTGTAGTCTATTCCAATGTTTCTTTGACTTTTGTAGTCTTTATAGTGTTTATAGTCTATCTATCCAACTTGTAGTCTATTCTGAAGTTTCTGGTAACTTTTAGTAGCCTTTTATTGTCTTTTGACTCCACATCAGTCCTTTATAGTATTCATAGTCTATCATTGACTTCTGTAGTCTTTAATAGTTTATGTATGGAACTGTTGACAGCATGTGCTAGGTGAGTGAGTAGGTTCCCATTGAAAATGGGGGGTTTCCAAATAGTTTTATCTGACTTTTGTAGTCTTTTATAGTGTTAATACATTGATCTTGTAGGTTTATAACCTATCATTGACTTTTGTAGTCTTTTGTAGTTTTATAGTGAGTTTTGTAGATTGTCTCATAGCATTTATAGTCTAGAATTCAATATAGTCTATCTATTGAATTGTAGTCTATTCCTATGTGTCTATTGATTTTGTAGGTCTAAAGTCTATCATCAACTTTTGTTAACATTTATAATCTATCTATCTAACTTGTAGTTTATTCCTATATTTTTGTAGTCTTGTAGAATGTCATAGTGTTTATGGTCCATCTAATATCATTGTCTTTTGTAGGATTTTATTCTTTATAGTAGTTCCATTGTATGTTTCTAGTCTATCTATTGACTTTGTAGTCAATTCCGATGTATCTATTGATTTTTGTAGTCTTTTATAGTATTATCTATAAATTTTGTAGGTCTAGAGCCTACCCTTGACTTTTGTAGTCTTTTCAAGTTTTACAGTCTATCTATTAGACCAACCCTATCTTTCACTTTGTAGTCTCAAGCTCAATTCATGTGAATTCATATGAATTCATGATCAAATTCTATGAATTCAAGGAAATTCAAAGTGAATTCATGGTTAATCCATGTCATTCAGCATCAATTGAAGTGAATTCATTTCAATTCATATGAATTCAAGTATATATTCATGTTAAATCCTCAATAGCAGTCAAAGTGAGTAAGACCAGACTGTGAGAAAAATTTCCCAGATTACATCATCCTACACAATCAAATGGCACATTTCAGTCATACATGTACCCCCCCAGTCTCAAAAAGTGGATACTACAAAAACTTTTCTAATGAAAAAGCAGACACTACAAACTTTTCTAATGAAAAAGCGCACACTACAAACTTTGTAGTCAGGATAACCTTTTGACCCTAACCCTGACTTTGTAGTCTAAGTCCGACTTTTGTAGTCTTTTATAAAGTATTAGAAAACTTTGTAGTCTAAGTCCAACTTTTTTGGAGCTCTTTACTCTCCCCCACCTATTCCTACCGGACTCCTACTGGATTCCCGGAATCCTACCGGACTGGACTAGGACTGGGACACATTTTATGTTGGCTGATCACCATACAAATTTTGTATCCTAGTCCTAGTGGAGTCCTAGTAAATTCCTACCGGACTGAACCCAAATCACCAGGAATTGTGGAATTCTACTGGATTTTTAAGGAATGAGTCCAGTAGGAGTCCAGTACAAGGAGTCCAGTAGGAGTCCAGTAGGAGTCCAGTAGGAGTCCAGTAGGAGTCCAGTAGGAGTCCAGTAGGAATTTCCGGGGACAGGGAGCCCAGTAGGACCAGCAGTTTGTCACTGTTGTTGTTATTATATAATATAATAAAAAAGCGCAACCTGACAGAATTGAACTCTCGACCTTATGGACATAGGGACAATACTATAGAGACGAGCACTGTACCAGTTACACTAGGAAGGCATTAGTATAGGTCATTATTATATGCTCTATATACCAACGTACTGACCTCCTTCCTAGAAAGGACGTCGGTGAATTCCGCGAGTGGGAATTTTGCCCAAACCCAACAACACTCGACAACACCACCATCACCACCCTCTTGCTCACCCACCACGAACACGTCGCCCACCACGACCACAACGGACGACGACAACACGCGACCACGACAACAACGACGGCCACGACAGACGATGACAACAAACGACCACGGCACGCAACGACGACCCCACTCACGGACACGACAACCACCCACGAACCACGAGCGCCCGCCGACATGACAAACAAGAAAGACGAGGGACAGCGACCCGCTCCCACCCGCCAACGACGACCGTAACACCCACCACCACAAACGACGCCCGCCACCCACGAAAACGACAACCGCCGCCCACGAAAAACGCCCAGCGCCCATAAACGACAGCCGCCGCCCATGCAAACGACAAGCGCCACCCACGAAAAGCACCCAGCACACCCAAACGACATCCGCCGCCCACGAAAAACGCCTAGCGCCCACAAACAACATCCGCCGCCCATGCAAACGACGACCGCCGCCCACGAAAAACACCCAGCAAACCCAAACGACGACTCAGTGTATCTCTCCTCCCTGTCTCCTTCTCTCTGTTCCCCTCTCTCCCTCCCTCCCTCTCTCCCTCCCTCTCTCTCTCCCACCATCCTTCTCTCCCTCCCTCTCTTCCTCCCTCCCTCCCTCTCTTCCTCCCTCCCTCCCTCTCTTCCTCCCTCCCTCCCTCTCTTCCTCCCTCCCTCCCTCTCTTCCTCCCTCCCTCTCTTCCTCCCTCCCTTCCTCTCGTCCTCCCTCTCTTCCTCCCTCTCTTCCTCCCTCTCTTCCTCCCTCTCTTCCTCCCTCCCTCCCTCTCTTCCTCTCTCCACCTCTCTCACCCCCTCCCCCCTCCATCATTTCACTTCACTCACTTCCCCTCCTTCCATAGCTCTCTCCCTCCACCACTCCCTCCATCACTCCATCACTCCCTCCCCCTCCCTCATTACATTAGTAAAATATCTTTCTGTATTAGTTGTCATTTCACAATACAACATTTGTTTAAATGTGAATTTTGAATAGAAATTTGAAGTTCTGACTTGGTAATACATTGAAGTTGATATTCCAGTGGGAATCCAGTAGGAATCCAGTAGGAATCCAGTAGGAATCCAGTAGGACTTCAATGTGTGGAGCATTTCATCTAATTTGTTTAAGTCCAGTTGGAGTCCAGTTGGAGTCCAGTAGGAGGGGGAATGGAGAAATATGTGAAAATGCCTTTTTGGAAATTTTGTCAAAATCCGGTAGGAATCCAGTAGGAATCCTACTGGAGTCCTGGAGTCCAGTAGGAATAGGTGGGGGAGTGATAAGTATTGATAAATAGCAGTACTTTACCCTCCCCCACATGCTCTGATCAGCACTGATCAGAGTTTCTACAATCAGAATAAATCAGCACTAAGCTAGAGGTCAGGTGACTTAATCTGCATTCATACAACTCCTCAATACTCAGAATTTCTTACAGAATTCACACCTAGTCAAGTCATACATCTCAATAGATCAATTTTTAATGTATTTTATTAATGACATAAGGTCTATTTTACTACATAAAGTGCATATCAAAGGGGACAAGGAAGAGGGGATGGACAAGGGGGTAGGGACAAGGAAATGGGGAGGGACAGGGAAGGGGGTATAAGGAAATGGGGAGGGACAGGGAAGGGGGCAGGGAAAAGGAAGGGGGCAGGGACAATGAAATGGGGAAGGGGGTAAGGACAAGGAAATGGGGAGGGACAGACAGGAAAGGGGGGAGGGAAAAGGAAGGGGGTACATGGAAATGGGA